TGGCTAGAATTTTATTGATGATTTTTTCATCTATGTTCATCAGGTAAATTGATTTATAATTCTCTTTCTCTGGTGCCTCTTTTTTAGGTTTAAGGATGAAGGTGATGCTGGCTCTGTAGAAATCATTTGGGAGGATTCCCTCTCTTTCAGTTGTTTTGAATACCTTGAGAGTACTTGGAGTTAATTCTTTAAATGCCTGGTAGAATTCGGCAGTGAATCCATCCAGTCCTAGGCTTTTCTTTGTTGGGAGGGCCTTTATTACTGTTTCAGTATCTGTCTTAGATATGGATCTATTTAGGTTTCTATGTCTTCATGGTTCAATTTAGGTAGGTTGTATGTGTCCAGGAATCTTTCTATTTCTGCTAGACTTCCCAGTTTGTTGGCATACAGCTCTTTGTAGTAATTTCTGATGACTATTTCTTTGGTGTCTGTTGTTTCTGTTGTTACATTCCCTTTCTCATCTCTGATTTTAATGGTTTGGGTCTTGGGTCTTCCCTCTCCTTTTTTTTTTTTTTTTTTTTTGGTTAGTTGGTCCAATGGTGTGTCAATTTTGTTTATTTTTCAAAAACCCAGCTCTTTGTTTTGCTGATCTTTGTAATTTTTTGGATTAAATTTTGTTGATTTCTTCTCTGATTTTAATTGTTTCTTTTCTCCTACTAGGTTTGGGTTTGGTTTGCTGTAGAGTTTCTAGATCCCTGTTATGGATTGGTAGCTCATTTATTTGGTGCCTTTCCAATTTATTGATGTAGGCACCTATTGCTATAAACTTTCCTCTTAACACTGCTTTTGTGGTATCCCATAAGTTTTGATATGTTGTGTTGTTATCTTCATTTGCTTCCAGAAAGTTTTTGATTTCTCTTTTGATTTCTTCAGTGACTCAGTGTTCATTCAGGAGCATGTTGTTCAGTTTCCATGTGTTTACATATGCTCTAGAGATTCCTGAGTTGCTGATTTCCAGATTCATTCCATTGTGTTCTGAGAAGATGCATGGTATGATTTTGACTTTTTTGAATTTGCTGAGACTTGGGAAGTGAAACAGCTAATGGAAGATTTTTCCCTATCTTTCTCTCCCTGTCATTCAGCCATGCAAATACATAAATACTTAAAAGGAGAGAAAAACCTCTAGAATTTGGGTAAAGGACAATGTTTGTTCAGGAAATGTTAACATTTTTCTGTATAGCTTGTGATTTGTAGCCTGATTTGTTGATCAATAGGATTACAATTTTCACTAGCTTAGGATATATTTCTCTGATCCTACTCCCAGTGAGGTCTGCAGTTACATATGTGCCATACCACTTGCCCATACCACTTGCTACCATCCCACACATCACTGAGTCTTCAGTACTTTCATCTGAGATCCCCTATTAATGAGACCCATTCCAATGGAAGATATTTGTATCCTCAGCAAAATGAGAATGAAAAAATCTCCTTCCTCTGTAGTCATTTTTGGCATTGGATTTAACCTCCCATGCTACATATCTTCAGAATTTGGCAATTGACAATACACAAAAAAGGCATATCTGGTGATGTTTAAGTTACTAATTTTTTTTAAACTTTTATTTAATGCATATAATTTTCCAAAGTACGATTTATGGATTACAATGGCTTCCCCCCCATAACGTCCCTCCCACCCACAACCCTCCCCTTTCCCACTCCCTCTCCCCTTCCATTCACATCAAGATTCATTTTTGATTATCTTAATATACAGAAGATCAGCTTAGTATACATTAAGTATGGATTTCAACAGTTTGCTCCCACACAGAAACATAAAGTGAAAAATAATAGATGATTTTTTTTAAATGATGATGAAATCAGAGCAGACCTATTGTCATGTTTAATCCCAGTGAGAGTCAAGTTGGGAATTGATAATTTTTTTTTTTTACAGAGGATCAGTTTAGTATGCATTAAGTAAGGATTTCAACAGTTTGCACCCCCATAGAAACACAAAGTGAAATATATTGTTTGGGTACTCGTTATAGCATTAAATCTCAATGCACAGCACATTAAGGATAGAGATCCTACATGAGGAGTAAGTGCACAGTGACTCCTGTTGTTGACTTTACCAATTGACACTCCTGTCGATGGCATCAGTAATCTCCCTATGCACCAGTCATGAGTTTCCAAGGCTATGGAAGCCCTCTGAGTTCTCCGACTCTTATCTTGTTTAGACAAGGTCATAGTCAAAGTGGAGGTTCTCTCTTCCCTTCAGAGAAAGGTACCTCCTTCTTTGATGACCTGTTCTTTCCACTGGGATCTCCTCACTCGTGGAGATCTTTTGCCAGAGTGTCTTGGCTTTCCATGCCTGAAATACTCTCATGAGCTCTTCAGCCATCTCCGAATGCCTTTAGGGTTGATTCTGAGGCCAGGGTGCTATTTAGGACATCTGCCATTCTATGAGTTACTAATTTTGTCATTCTACCTCTAAAAATTCTGCTGAGTTTTCTATTCTTGAATTTGAGCTTGCATAGTTTCTGGATATTGAGTTTCAGTTAGAATAGATTTTCCTAATCTAAGATTGTTAATCACACACTGCATGTAATTCTAAAGTTGTTAAATACTCAGTGTGAACTGTGGGTTCACTTTTAATTTTATTTTGTGTATGTTTTCCACAAAATTTGCTAAAAAGTCTATAACCCCTAGCCTCTGTGCATTTCTTGCCCCCTTCCATGGACTTAGAGAGATCCATCTATTAAAGTGAACTGCTATAACAGATGCTCTATTTGTTAGTGTCTCACAACAATAGGGTTGAAAAGTTAGGGTATAATTAGGTGACAAGTGACTCCCAGACACTGCAGGGCTTCCACATTTAAAGTGTGTTTCAGATCTCCTATTTTTCTTCATCCTGCTATAGTGACCTTTACTAGAAATGCTCATCTTTGTGATTGGAGAATATAGAAGCCATTGGACCAAGTAAAGCTCTCCTAGAAGTGGCACAATTCATATCTACTGATATTTGCTGAGTGAGAATCATGTGAACTTGTGTGAGTTCTAGACTGGGAGAGGATATGTGATTTTCTCTCAAGAAACAATACTGAAGTTGAGTGAGCAGTGGTCACCACACATCAGTTAATCTTATCTCACAAGTGTCTTAACTTCATCCCATACCCAGAGAGACAAACTTAAAAAATATCATCTATTCTCAACTTTGAAATCAAATCCAAGTTCTGTGAATGAAACCAGACATGTATCATGTCCAGATGTGGTTAGATTGTTAGACCTGTGTGTCATGAGCAGACAAGGTGACTGCTTTGTTTTTAATCAGTGTACATGATTTAAAAAGGAGGAGGATAATCACGACAGCCATTCCTTTTTTATAATTTCATTTTAAAAATAATTTAGGAATTCTGGAGGATAGCAGTACTGTCTCATGGCAATATGACCATACTGGGGATACATGTGGAGAGTGGCCTGTGCTGTGTACTTGAGACACAGACTTTGTTGACTCCATTCCATACCTTGGTAGCTCTTCAACCTGTTGTTTTCCAAGGAATCATTGTTTCTTCTCAGAAATAGCTTTCTTTAACCATTATCAATATTATTTACATTACATCATTTTTTTGACAGGCAGAGTGGATAGTGAGAGAGAGACAGAGAGAAAGGTCTTCCTTTTGCCATTGGTTCACCCTCCAATGGCTGCCGTGGCTGGCGCAGCTGGCACGCTGAGGCCAGCACACCATGCTGATTGATTGCAGGAGCCAGGTGCTTATCTTGATCTCCCTTATGGGTGCAGGGCCCAAGCACTTGGGCCATCCTCCACTGCACTCCTGGGCCACAGCAGAGAGCTGGCCTGGAAGAGGGGCAACTGGGACAGGATCCGGTGCCATGACCGGGACTAGAACCCAGTGTGCCAGCACCACAAGGTGGAGGATTAGCCTAGAGAGCCATGGCACTGGCTCCACATTACATTATCGACCAGGACTGAATACAGCATGCTTACTATGGGCTGGGCTGCCTTGTTGGCTTCCTTCTTGTTTATAATATAACTTCTTTATCTTCTGGCACTTTTGAAGTAAATTTGGTTGTTTCTGACAGTATAACCCTTTAGAATGTGTGTGTATGTGTGTATTTGTGTGTGTGAGTGTATTTGTTATTCCAGCCAGTTGTCAGCCTTCTGAAACATGACATTTTGTCTGGTTATGTTACTAGTGTTTTAGCATGTTTTTTAGATGTACCTTGTGATCTCCTTCCTGTGATTTTGAACAATTGAAAATTCTATTGAGAACAACTACTTCATTTACATGATTTAGCAATAGCTGTCATGGTCATAACCTTAATTTTCAAGTTAACATGGATTTCAGTATGAATGTTTTGGCTTTCCAAATTGTTTCTTACTGTATATTTTACTTGTAAGATTAAAAAAGGCAGACTTGAAAACCTTATAATAAAAGCCCAAATGAAAATGCTTTGAGAGTTTTCCATTCCTATGCATCCTCAAGTTTCTGGTTTCTTCCTCTTCCCTTTATCTCTTTCTTGTATGATTTGGATATTTTTATGAGCTCAGCATTTTCCTGTAGACATATGAAGTAGAGTGAACTGTACCTGATACATGTTACTGATATTCTTTTTCCTGCTTCAAACTCTATGTCCATGATGTAAATATTATTTGACCTATGGCCTGGTTACATAATTGTGGTAGTCATTAAGTACACACAAAAATTTATCAAATAATTAATGGAAAAATACATTATAAAAAACTATGCATAAATTTAAAAAAGTTTGCAATAAAATAAATGATCTGATAATACAGAAAAATTTATTTTTAAGAAATTCCTCATTCTCCCAATTGATGTTCAACATTTTCTCCTGTAACTCATCTAATGTTAATTCAGTCATATGCTTACATGTATTTCTACAGATTGCAGTATGGGCTCTTTTCAAAATCATTAGGAGAAAGAGCAGTTCCATAATAACAAGCATTCCATTGTACTGATTTTTGAATTATGAAATTAATATAGAAGCAAGACATTTTCATTGTAATTTTGCATTCTGTTGTCATATAGATTCCAAAATCATCCGCATCTTATATAAGAGGCATAGAAGACACACACAGAGAAATGCACTCCTAGTCTTTTTGTGACAGAACTGGCATGATGAACCAAAAAAAAAAATGTGCTGTTGCAGATGTTGGTGTCATTTGAAGACCTGGCTGTGGACATCACTCAGGAGGAGTGACAGTACCTGGACAGTTCTCAGAGGACCCTGTACAAAGATATGATGATGGAGACCTACAATAGCCTGTTGTTTTTGGGTGAGTGCTATTCCCCTCTCATGACGAAGTGAAACAGTTACTTCCCATGTGGCAAGCAAATTAATTGTTTAAAAGATTACATGGTGGATAAGCATAGAATTTGAGGCCAAGAAACATGAGGAAAGGATTGAAATCAACAATTTTGTTTCACAGCCCCTGTGAACAAGCTGTTGTCTTTCAAAACTCTAACATAATGATATGATGACACCCAGCATTATTTCCCTTTAACAGGGTACTGCAAAAGCAAACCTGAGGTGATCTTCAAGTTGGAACAGGGGACAGAGCCATGGACAGTGACAAAACTCCCTAAATTGGAGCCTGTCAGGTCAGTCAGCACACATGGGACAGGGAGACTGGGATGGAAAAGATCTCAAGGAATGTTGACTGGGTAGAGCATTTCTCATTATTTATCCCAAGTCTCAGTCCTGAGAACAGCTGATATGACGCATCATCTGCTTGTTGTTTTGCTCTGGGTGAATACTTTGTCAGAACTACCAACAATGCAATCAATTTATTTTTAAAATTTTATTTATTTATTTGAGAGGTAGAGTTACAGACAGACAGAGGGAGAGATAGAAAGGTCTTGCATTCACTGGTTCACTCCTCAGATGGCTGCAATGGCCAGAGCTGAGCTGATATGAAACCAGGAGCCAGAAATTTCCTCTGGGTCTCCAAGATGGAGAGCACTTGGGCCATCTTCCACCACTTTCCCAGGCCATTAGCAGAGAGCCATTTGAAGAGGAGCACCTGGAACATGAACTAGTACCCATATGGGTTGTCGATGCTGCAGGCAGAATTTTAGCTTACTGTGCCACAGTGCTAGCCCCATTGCAATCAATTTCTGCCTGTAATGAGACTAATTTTTAGGTTAAATACATCCCCTGTATTCAAACTTGTCCTTCTTCCTACTGTCACATCCTGTTTTTCTTCAGACGTTTATTCTTTTTTTTTTTTTTTTTGACAGGCAGAGTTAGAGAGGGAAACAGGGATAAAGGTCTTCCTTCCATTGTTTCACTCCCCAAATGGCTGCTCCAGCCAGTGTGCTGTGGCTGGTGTGCTGCACTGATCTGAAGCCAGGAGCCAGGTGCTTCCTCCCGGTCTCTGATGTGGGTGCAGGGCCCAAGCACCTGGGCCATCCTCCACTGCCTTCCTGGGCCACAGCAGAGAGCTGGACTGGAAGAGGAGCAACCAGGACAGAATCTGGCACCCCAGGCAGGACTAGAACCTGGGGTGCCAGTGCCACAGGCGGAGGATTAGCCAAATGAGCCATGGCACTGTCCTATTCATGTATTTATTCTATCAATGCTTATAAAAATTGGATCACACAGAGGAACTGATTTCTTATTAGTTGCAGAAATTTAGTTCCCACTCATGGTTTTGACCAGGCACAGGCCTTACTGTTGCACAAATTTGAGTACTGAATTAGTGAACATGAGCTTTCTCATTGTCTCTTTCCTCTCCCTTATTCTGTCTTTTTTTTTAAGATTTATTGATTTGAAAGTCAGTTACATGGAGAAAGAAGGAAAGGCAGAGAGAGAGGTCTTCCAAGTGCTGGTTCATTCCCCAATTGGCTGCAGCTGCCGCCAATCTGAAGCCAGGAGCCAGTAGATTCCTCTGGGACTCACACATGGGTGCAGGGCCCAAGTACTTCTACTGTACATCTTCTACTGCTTTCCCAGTCAGAAGTGGAGCAGCTGGGACTTGAACTAGTACCCACATGGGATGCCAACACTGCAGGCAGTGGCTTTACCCGCTATGCCATAGTGGCATCCCCTCTCTCCCTTTTTTCTGTCTCTGATTCTCAAATAAATGAGTAACAAAATAAATGGCCATTGCAAGCAATTGAAAAGTGAATGAGTGAATGGGCTTTGTTTTTCTGTCCCTATCCCTGTAGTTCAAATAAATAAATCATGAAGAAAATGGGATGCCAGTGTTGCAGGAAGCAGGTTAACCTGCTATAATACTTTTCCTGCTCCTTTTATAATATAATTATAATATAAAAGTTTAGAAATGCATAAGAGAATCAGTTTTCTGTAAAAATGGGATAATTTTGAGCATCTAGCACAAGCATTAAAAGACATAACTTTAAATTTTAGAGCAAGAGTGTATACCAAGAACTCAAAGAATACCAAGTATGCTGGTTTCATAATGAGGTTGAAGTACTTCTCAAAGAAGGTGAACATAATCCTAATGGCAGAACATATTTCCTTAAATTGATTGGAAAGCATACAAAAAATGATGTATGGGACATTTATGGGCCTTCTGTGGTACTGAGAATCTGAAGATACTAGGTTTTCTTAGGAATCTGTGGAAACCTGTCATCATAATGTGCATATAAAAGATTTGGGAAGGGCTGAGATTGTGACAGTATGTTGAACCACTTCCTGTAATGACAGCATTTCATATGGGCACCAACTTGAGTCCTGGCTGCCCCACTTGTGATGCAGCTCCCTGGTACTGTGCCTGGGAAAGCAGCAGATGTTTCTTTGCACATATCTGGGAGACTCATTTGGAGTTCTGTGCTCCTGTCTTTACCCTGGTACAGCCCTGACCATTGCAGCCATTTGGGGAGTGAATAAGTGGATGAATACTCTCTCTCCATCTCTCTTTGTAACTCTGTCTTTAAAAAAAATAAATCTTTTTTAAAAGTTTTTTTTTTTATTTATTTGAAAGAGAGAGAGAGAGAGAGGTAGAGACAGAGAGAGAGAGAGAGAGGTCTTTCATCTGCCAGTTCACTCCTAACTGACTGAAATGTGTGCAGCTGAATCAATATGAAGCCAAGAGTCCAGAGTTTCTTCTGGGTCTCCTATGCAGGTACAAGGACCAAGTGACTTGGGCCATCCTCTGCTGCTTTCTCAGGCACATTAGCAGGTAGCTGAATCTGAAGTGGAGCAGCTGAGACTTGGCACCCATATGGGATGCTGGTGCCACAGGGCAAGGCTTTAACCCACTGCACTACAGCACCAGCCTCTAAAATAAACAAATCTTGAAAACATTTAAAGGAGGTGTTTTTGCTTAAGAAACCCCACAGATCTCTATAGCCATTCCCCTGGAAAAACTGAACATGCAGCAACCAAAAAATGGATGCTGTTTCTAAGTTATGGTCCTGCCTAGGGGATACACACATGTCCTCTTCTGGTACCTATAAGTAAGTGATCCAATGAAGTTTTCCCATCTTCAAAGCTGAATGATTAAGGAAGCAAGAAACCTCACTTTTATAAGAAATGATGATGGCTGCTGGGAAGTTTGCAGCTTATTACTCAAATAAGATAGTTGGTAAGTATTTTTTACTAAGTGTTTCTCAACTTTTATAAATATTTACTTAGTTATGAAAATGTTTATTATGTTCTCCTTGCAAGGCAGAATGAAAGTAACAGAGAAATAGAGAATGAGAGAAAAGTCCTCCATCTACATGTTCATTGCCCAAATGCCTGCAACAGTAAGAATGAGGCCAACCTGAAACCAAAAGCCAGTAAATCTGTTTGGGTCTTTTAAGTGTGTGGCAGGCTCCAACACACTTAGAATCATCATTGGTTGCCTGCCAGGACACATTAGCAGGAATCTGTATTGGAAGCACAGTAGCCAGGACTCATCTGGTACTAATGTGGGATGCATGTATCCTCAGAAATGGTTTGACCCACTGCCTGACATCACTTGCCCCTTCTCTCCACTTAAAACAATTAACATAGTTAAATGTATGAATTTGGGAAAGCTTCCTTTGTTTTATTACCTTAGTGTATTATGAAGAAAAAGATATATAGGGCAACACTGAATACCTTTTACTGACCTATTCAAATGCTATTCCACTAAGAAATTGCATTGCTTTTACTTGAACATTCTACAAGTAACATTTATATATGGTTCATGGATATAGTTTTTTTTTTTTTTCTCATTTCAGCCCACAGAAGGGATGACCTATTGGGAACCAACTGGAAAAGTCAACAAATAAATTTGAGGCAAGTTGTAATCACAAACAACAACTTAACACACAAGAGAGTTAAAAAGCAACACTTAGCTGGTGCCGTGGCTCAACAGGCTAATCCTCCGCCTAGCAGCACCGGCACACCAGGTTCTAGTCCCAGTCAGGGTGCCGGATTCTGTCCCAGTTGCCCCTCTTCCAGGCCAGCTCTGCTATGGCTGGGGAGTGCAGTGGAGGATGGCCCAAGTGCTTGGGCCCTGCACCCCATGGGAGACCAGGAGAAGCACCTGGCTCCTGCCTTCAGATCAGCGTGGTGCACCAGCTGCAGCGGCCATTGGAGGGTGAACCAATGGCAAAGGAAGACCTTTCTCTCTCTCTCTCTGACTGTCCACTCTGCCTGTTAAAAAAAAAAAGCAACACTTAATTTAAGCTCAGGCCATATTTTTACTGAAAGCTGAGACATATAATTTATTTCACAATTTGCTTCTCCCTAGGAGGCCTGATGAGATGTGAGCTGCAGAGAAATCTGATGGCACTAATGTACCTGGCAACTCAAGTGAACGTTGGGAGCCCATCAGGCAGCCTCACAAGATTCAGCCTTTTCAGCAGGTGTTTGAACACAGTGTAAAAGGCAAAGGGTTCAACAGGAAAAGGGTGTTCTTTACAAATGAAAGGGCTCATATGGGAGACACCTGTAATAAGTCAGTTGGCATTGTAGGAAAGACAACTGAACATGTAAAGAAAACTTTCCAGAAAAAGTCCTACCTCAGTAAACCTCAACAAGCACACACAGGAAAGAAACTTTATGAATCTTTTGAGTATGAGGAAACTCTCATTTACAAATCAGATTTTATCACAAGTCAAAGAACACATACAGGAAGAAAAACCTATTCTTGTAACCCCTGTGGAAAATCTTTCAATTGTAAATCCTGCCTTTCTATCCATCATGGAACTCAGAAAGGGGAAAGGCCCTCTGGGTGTGATGAATGTGGGAAAGCCATTTACCTGAGGTCAGATACTACAAATCACATGACTCACACAAGATACAAATCTTTCACATGTAAAACATGTGGCAAAGCATTTTATTGGAAGTCACAACTCATTCTACATCAGAGAATTCACACAGGGGAGAAACCTTATCAATGTAATACATGCAGAAAAGGCTTTCATTGGAAAACAATCCTTATTTCACATCAAGAATTCACACAAAGGAGAAATCTTACAAATGTGATATATGCAGAAAAGCCTTTTCCTGGAAGTCAAATCTCACTGTACATCAGAGAATTCACATAGGGCAGAAACCTTATGAATGTAATAAAGGTGGAAAAGCCTTTATCCAAAAGTCAAATCTAACTTCACATCAGAAGATTCACATAAATGAGAAACCTTATGGATGTGAAATGTGTGAAAAAACCTTTCGCTGGAAGTCAAACCTCACTACATATCAGAGAAAATTCACACAGGGGATAAACCTTTTGAATGCAATACATGTGGAAAAGCCTTTTCCCAAAAATCACAACTCATTGCACACCAGATGATCCACAAAAAGGAAGAAAACTTATGAATGTAGTACCTGTGGAAAATCGTTTTTCCAGAAGTCACAACTCACTCTACATAAGACGGAGAAGATTTATAAATGCAAAATGTGTGGAAAACCCGTTTGTTGGAAATCACAACTCTTTACCCATCAGAGAATGCATAGATCAGAGAAAATTTATGAATGCAATACATGTGGAAAAGTCTTTTGTAATAACTCACAACTCATTACACATCAGAGAGTTCACACAGGGGAGAAACCTTATCAATGTGATGAATGTGGAAAACATTTTCCCAGAATTCAAACTTCAGAAGGCATCAAAGAACTCACATGTAAGAGATAACTTGTCAGTGCTATGGATAAGAAAAGACTTTTTGCCAGAAGCTACATCTCAACAGAAGGCAAAACTCACAAAAAGGAAGAAACACCTTTTAATGAAGTGATTATGAAAATTCCTGATGCCAGAAGTCAGTGTTAGGCACACATCAAAGAACTCACAGGTGAGAAAGCATGTGAATATAGGAAAACTTTCTACCATAGCCAGATCTCACTATCAGGGATCTTAGAGGAAGAACTCTACAAAGGCATTGGAAGTGGGCAAAGCTTTTACTCTGAGGCAGATTTCAACAAGCATCAGCAAAATTATCCACAAAATTATTAGTACATAAAATAAGTGCTAGCAAAATTACTCAATATTATTCTGCAAAACAGTAATGAAGGTGGAAAAATACCTGTTTAACATCACATCTCTGCAGGTATTAGGGAATTCACATGAGGGTGTAACACTGTACTGCAGAGGCTGGCTATGCAGTCTTTGAAATCTACATTAGTCTCTGTGCCATATAATCTGCTGTTTTGCCTGCACTTATTATGAGTAGGGGGACGATATCCACATGTAATTTTTGTAAGTAAATACTCATTCTATACTACTCAGTTTGAAATACAACCCTAACATTTGCAAAGTATTTGGTACAACTCTTTCACTGCCTGCACATGAGTCTTCCTCCATTTATTCTAGTACAGATCAGTAATGTGACCACAGTTGTGTTACCTCACATGCCAGCCATAATGCTGTACTATTAGAGTTGGATGTTGGTTTTTTTTTGTTCTAGGTAGGATTTGTCTTGTGGCTTTTTCAGTCATGTGAATCGCAGATTTGTGTGTAGACTGTCTCATTTGTCCATATTACCAATCTATTTATAGATTGAAGAGGATTCATAAGTATTGCTTTGGTGGCCAAATGTCCAAACTATCTTCCTGGGATTGTTTCTGGGCCAATGTTTAATTTTTTTTTCCATTAAAAGACAATGACAGAGCAAAACATGTACACAGAGTTCTTATATTCACTACTTCACTACCACAGATGGCTGAAACAGCCATGTCTAGGTGAGACCAAAGCCAGGAGGCCTAAATTCCATTTTAGCCTCCCACATGGGTGGAAGGGCCCCAAACATATGGATCATTAAGTACTAACTTCATAGGAGTATTAGCAATGTAGTGACAGAAACAAAGTAGCCAGGACTCCCAGCTAACACTTAAATATAAAATGTCAGCATTGCTCACAGCAGCTTAACCTGTTGTTCCACAGTGCTGGCCATAGTTCTTTTTATTTTTGTCCTTGTTTGTTCTGTAGCTCTCTTGCCTCTCTACTGTGGTTATGCCTGTTTGGAGTCATTTACCAATGTTCTGACTTCTGTTTTATTTCATTTTACTATCTGATGATATAGGCAGCTTGCTTTTCTAGTTTTTTACATGCAGTACTATGTTGTAAACTTGCAATTTTCCTGCTTTTAAAATGGCTACAATATCTGTAACTGTGCCAGGATGAAGACAGGAATCAGAAACTTCATCTGGAACTCCCACATGGGTACAGTGGCCCAGACATATGATCTGGGAGCAGTATTGGAAGTGGATCAGCCAGAACTTGAAGTGATGGCCAATATAAGATGCCAGCACTGAAGACAGTGGCTTTACCCTCTAGGCCATAGTGCCTGCCCTTTTATAAATTCTATGAAACATGTAAAAACAATTAACATCAATATTTCTTAAACTATTCAAAAATAGGAGAGAAATAATTCTTCAAAATGCATTCTATAAGGTCAGCATTACCTTTAAACCAAAACCAAAGATACAACAAAAACTCAAATTATAAACTAATATCCTTGGTAAGTACAGATGGGAAAATTTACAAAAATACTAGTACATTAAAAGGATTACATACTACAGTCAGAAGAGATTTACCCCAAGGATACTAGTGTGTTTTTACATACACAAATCACTACACATGACATGCTATAACAACCAAAGTGCAAAAATCGTATGTCATTCTCAATAGATGTAGAAAAGGCACTTGATAAAAATTAAGAGTCTTTCATAATAGGAACTCTGAACAAATCAGGTACACAATAATGTAACAAAGGACATATACAACAAGCCAACAGCTGACACCATATTAAATGTGGAGAGGCTGAAGAATTCTTCTCCAAGATCTGGAATAACACAAAATGATCACTTTAAGCATTTCTAATTCTTTTGACAGGCAGAGTGGACAGTGAGAGAGAGAGAGACAGAGAGGAAGGTCTTCCTTTTGCCGTTGGTTCACCCTCCAGTGGCCACCGTGGCCAGCGTGCTGTGGCCGGCATACCGCGCTGATCCGATGGCAGGAGCCAGGTACTTATCCTGGTCTCCCATGGCGTGCAGGGCCCAAGCACTTGGGCCATCCTCCACTGCACTCCCTGGCCACAGTAGAGAGCTGGCCTGGAAGAGGGGCAACCGGGACAGAATCTGGTGCCCCAACAGGGACTAGAACCCGGTGTGCCGGCACTGCAAGGTGGAGGATTAGCCTAGTGAGCCGCGGCGCCTGCCAAGCATTTCTATTTAACATAGTATGAAAAATCATGTAGCAATTAGGTAAGAGAAAGAAATAGACATTCAAATTGGAACAAAGGAAGTCAAATTGTCACTGGTGGGAGATGACATGAGCACATACATAGAAAACATCACATACTCTAACAAAGATCTTTTAGAATTAATAAAACAAATTTGCAAGATAAAATGTCAAAATATAAAAATCAGTAGCAGTGATTTATACTAATAGCAAGTTATCTGAAAAATTTTAAAACTATTCTTATTTCCAATTACTATAAAATACCAACCTAGGACTCAGTTCAACCAATAAAGTAAAAAATCTCGACAATGAGACCTAGAAAACACTGATGAAAGAAATTGAAAAGGCACAAAAGAAATGAAGACATCTATGGCCATAGATTGGAAGAATAGATATCAGTAAATGATCATATTAACCAAGGCTGCATAACGATTTATGCAATTCTTATCAAAATGCCAATGGCATTTTCATAGAACTAGAAAAAATATTAAAATTAATTTAAACACATGAAAGAGCCCCAAATAGCCAAAAATATGTTGAATAAAAAGAATACAACAGGATATATTTATATTACCCAAATTTAAAATATTTTTCAAAGCAAAGTAACAATGAGGTTTCCTCTCACTCCAGTTAAAATGGCTCTCATGTGGATATCAACAAACAACAAATACTAGTGAGGATATGGGGAAAAGGTACCCTAATCCACTCTTATGGGATGTGAACTGCTCTAGCCACTGTGAAAGACAGTATGGAGATACCTCAGAAATCCAAATATAGACCTACCATATGATCCAGCCATCCTATTCAGGGGAATTTACCCAAACTTCCAGAAATCAGCATATGAAGGAGTTATCTGTACCCCTATGTTCATTGCAGCATAATTCACAATAGCTAAGACTGGCAATCAACTCAGATGTCCATCAGTTTTTTTTTTTTTTTGACAGGCAGAGTGGACAGTGAGAGAGAGAGAGACAGAGAGAAAGGTCTTCCTTTACAGTTGGTTCACCCTCCAATGGCCACTGCGGCCAGTGTGCTGCGGCCAGTGCACTGCGCTGATCCAATGGCAGGAGCCAGGTACTTATCCTGGTCTCCCATGGCGTGCAGGGCCCGAGGACTTGGGCCACCCTCCACTGCACTCCCGGGCCATAGCAGAGAGCTGGCCTGGAAGAGGGGCAACCGGGACAGAATCTGGTGCCCCGACAAGGACTAGAACCCGGTGTGCCAGTGCCACAAGGCAGAGGATTAACCTAGTGAGCCACGGCACCAGCCTCCATCAGGTTTTGACTAGAAAAAGAAACTATGCAATATATACACTATGCAGTATCCTGTATTTTGCAACAAGATGGGCACTATCAAAACCGTTTTACTAAGTGAAATAAGCCAGTCCAAAAAGGACTGATATCATATGTTTTCCTTGATCTGAGATAACTAATAGAATACCTGAAATGCAATGTAGTGAAATAGACATTTTGAGATTTGATTATTTTATAGCTCCTGTCTCTCCCATTAAGGAATAGTGTTTTTTTTTGTTTTTCCTCTTCATACTATTTGTTGAATTCTTTTGTTTTGTGTAAGGTTAACTATATGATCTTTAAGTAAATTGAACATAGATCTTGGTAAAAATTAGGAGTGGGAATGTAAGAAGAAAGAGGAAGAAGGTTTGGAGTTTGAGCAGGAAATAGGGTAGGGATGAGTATCACTATGTTTCTAAATCTGTATATAGGAAATACATGATATTTGTATAACAAACAAAATTTAAAAAATAGAGACTTATTTCCATTGGGCATATATATAATATATATATATATATGGGATATATATATGGGATATATATATGCCCAATGGAAATAAGTGTATATATATGTATATGTATATGTGTGTATATATATACAATTGTGTATATATGTGTGTATATATATAGGGGATATATATATATATACATGCCCAATGGAATAATGATATATATATCTATATCCCATATATATATCCTATAGATCTATATATCTCCAATAGTGGCATTGCTGGAACTGTAGTATTCTTTCAGATTTTTTAGGAATATTAATCCCTTTTTTTTGGGATGTACTTAATTACATTGCCACCAAAGTACAACAAGATGCCCCTTTCTCCTCATCCTATCCACTCACTCATTGTCTTGTCTTTTGGGTAAAAGGCAATATACTTAGAATAAAATAATAGCTTATTGTAGCTTCGATTAGTTATAGGTGAGCCTTTATTCATTACCCTGTTTTTCATTTCTACATCTTCCTTTGAGAGATTTGTGTTTAAATGTGTTGTTCATTTATAAATTGTATTTTTTTGCTATCAAACTGAAGTTCTCATATGTATTAATCATTAGCACCTTTTCAGATAATATGATTATAAATATTTTCTCCCCATTTTTTGAATTTATCTTTTTATTTTTTAGAAATTGTTGCTTCATTTCTTAAAATGTTATATAAGTTATACAAGTTTCATGTATTTGATACATAAAAATTTAGGAACATAGTAATACACCCACCCTAACCTCCTTCCTGCCCATGCTCAAACAATTTTTTCTCTTCATTCTCCCATTCCCACTCTTAATTTTTATAAAGATCTATTTTCCATTTACTGAATGATCATAAAGTTAACCCTACATTAAGTGAAAGAGTTCAGCAAATTGTATGAAGAAAATGATGCTGTCCCTCAACAGAAGAGACAAGGCTGTAAATAATCATCAAATCTCAAAATGTCCATTTCATATAATACATTATATTTTAGATACACTATTAACACTGATCAGGGAAAATATATGATATCTGTCATTTTGTTTCTGAATTATTTCACTTAAAAATAGTTTCCAGTTGTGCCCATCTAGTTGCAAAAGTGGGAAGCCACATCATATGGTAGGTCTATATTCAGATTTCTGAGATATCTCCATACTGTCTTCCAGAGTGGTTACACCAGTTTACATTCCCATCAACAGAGGACAAAATAAGTCTTTTGAAGATATATTTGCTTTCCCATGTTTATTACAGAACAATTTTCAGCAATTAAGAAATGGAGACAACCTAAGTGTCCATTCACTGATGAATGAATAAGGAAAATATGATACATATAACCAGTGGAATACTATTATGCCATTAAATGATTTAAATCTTTTCATATGTAAGAAGATTGGAGGTACAGGTAATTATTTTAAGTGAAATAAGCCAAGCATAGAAAGACAAGCATTGCACGATTTCACTCATGTGGAATCTAAATGGTTGATCTAATGTAAATTAGGTATATAATGGTGGTTACCAGAGTCTGGGGAGTGTAGGGGGGAAGTGAAGGATGGAGAAAAAATGATAAACTGATACTAAGCCATAGCTAGATAGGAGAAAGAATTTCTGGTGTTCTATTGTATAGTCGATTGACTATAGATAATGACAATGTATTATACATTATTCTAAAATAAACTGGGTGAAGGTTGATTGACTATATATAATGACAATGTATTATACATTATTCTAAAACAAACTGGGTGAAGGGCTTTTCAATATTTTCTCCATAAAGAAATGATGTTTGAGGAGGTAGATATGTTAGCCCTGATTATACATTAAATTATAAATATATACAAATATCAAGTCATAACATGATATTCCATAAATATGTATAATTTTTTGTGCTCATTAACAAAAATTTTTTTCAAATTATTACAGAGGACGAAAGAAGGAGAGGGAGGGAGAAGCACATGGGAAGAGGGGAGAAGGGAGAAGGTAGAATCAGGAGGAGGGGAAAGGAAAGTGATGGAGGAGAGCAGGGTGGAAGGAATTAAAGGCAAGAAAGCCAAATATTGAGATTAAAAACAAATGATGAACAAGAAAATATTGTTACCAGCTTTGTGCAGACAAAATGGAAATATATAAATTCATGCAAATAGAGATAAAATATTAAAATGCACCTCTTTTTCAACATTCATTGATTCATTAATTCATTTATTAATTGTATTAAATTATACAATTTGTATTACCCTATGACAAAAATTGGAGGAGAGTAAAAAAGACATTGTTGTTTCAAATGAGATACTGTCACTGAGAATGATATTACATTTCCTTTTTAAAAGATTTATTTTATTTATTTGAAAGGTAGAGTTACAGAGAAAAGGAGAGAAAGAGAGATCTTTCACCCACTGGTTCACTACTCAAATGATTGCAATGACTGGGCCTGGGTCACTCTGAAGCCAGGAGATTCATCTGAGGCTTCCATGTGGATGCAAGGGCCCAAGGACTTTGGCCATCTTCTGCTACTATCCTAGGTGCATTATCAGGGAGCTGAATCAAAAGGAGAAGCAGTCAAAGCTAGTGCCACTATAAAGCAGCAGTTTTACCTGCTAAGCCACAATGCTGCCCCTTTTGATATCTTTAAAATCATCTTCACTATATTTTCAATATCAGGTAAACAATTGATTGTTTTAAATTAAACTGTCACTACACTGATTGGTTGCTTGCAAAAAGTAAAAGAAAAATTTTCTCTAATAAAGATAGGATCATTCAGAACCTCAAATTATGTCTGCATTTTTTTTTCATGCAAAGTATCTAAAATACAACTTAGATTTAATAGACATGCTGGGAAGAAAGATATATGAAACAGAATGACTGGAGATCTATATATTGGAGTTACCAAGACTAGAATATAGATAACTGACAAATATTCAAGAGTCATGATAAAACAGTTTTCACAGAGAAATAAAATTTAGTATAAAAAATCACATAGAAATACTTTAACACAAAAACAGAAAGACTAAAATAAGTCAGTGAATGAGATTAATAACAGTTTAGAAAAAGCTAACGTGAAAGAGAAGTGGAATACTTGCTGGCCTTCAGAATTCATGGAGGATTGGCTCCAATGCCACTCACAGATTTCCAAATTCATGGATTTCTAAATCTCTTATATAAAATGGCATAGTATTTATACATAACATATTCACATCTTCTGGTACACCTTAAATCATCTAGATTTACTTAAATACCTAATAAAATGTAAATGCTATGAAAATAATTATTGTATTATTGAAAGAATAATGTCAAGAAATATTTTTGACAGGCAGAGTGGACAGTGAGAGAGAGACAGAGATAAAAGGTCTTTCTTTTCCATTGGTTCCCTCCCCAAAATGGCTGCTATGGCTGGCGCGTTGTGGCCAGCGCACCGCACCGATCTGAAGCCAGGAACCTGGTGCTTCTTCTGGTCTCCCATGCGGGTGCAGGGCCCAAGCACTTGGGCCATCCTCGACTGCCTTCCCAGGCCACAGCAGAGAGCTGGACTGGAAGAGGAGCAGCTGGGACTAGAACCCGGGGTGCTGGCACCGCAGGTGGAGGATTAGCCTAGTGAGCCGCCGCACTGGCCAACAAGAAATCTTTGAATGTACAATTAAATCTAACATGTAGATTTCATTTTTTTGAAAAATTTTTATTTTAATTGTTTTACTTTTCCAAATGCAATTTTTAGGTATAATCACTTAGGTGCTTAAATGAATACATAAAGACCCAGAGGGGATCTTACCAGTACTCTAACAAGGTGAAGTATACAAATCCCTCTTTTCCCCCTAGCTTCCAGCTTTGCAAGAGGGAACACCTAACAAAATTCAGTTCAGTATATCGCTATACTAGTTCTGTGCTTTGAAAAAATATCTGGTGACATATGAGTCTGATACATCAAATGCTGCTCTTTCCCTTAAGACTTCTAACAGTAGTTATCATTTCTAGTGTGGCACTTCAGGATAATGAATAATGACCAAGGGATAAAAAACTTTAAGGTAAAAGCAAGACTATATCATGTCTTCCCAGATTTTTTGAAGCAGATTGTCAAATTCTTAAAAAAAAGTCTGAAAAAGACTGCTGCTATATTGTTCAAAGAATTGCTTTCCTATAAATGGACTTGGCCTATGTAGCTCATTCCATAAACACATTTAATATAAAACTCTTCATATTTTTAGCAAGGATAAGTAATTTTAAAGATGAGTAATGGAGTTTTTATTCCATTGTCCTCTGGTATTTTAGTTTATTGAATATTTTTCTAACAAACATTTTGAACAGTTTATTATCATTTTCTCTTTGATTACCTACCAGTTACTTAACTATGTGTTTTTTGTTTTGTTTTGTCTTGTTTTAAAGACAGAGTTACAGAGAGAAGTAGAGACACACAGAGAGAGAGAGAGAGATCTGGTTCACCCCCCGCAATGGGCAGAGCTGTGCCGATCTGAAGCTAGGAACCAGGAGCTTCTTTCAGGTCTCCCACATGGGTGCAGGGGCCCAAGGACTTGGACCATCTTCTTCTGCTATCCCAAGCCATAGCAGAGAGCTGAATCAGAAGAGGAGAGCTGGGACTAGAACCGGTGCCCATATGGGATGTCAGTGCTCCAAGCCAGGGCTTTAACCTACTCCACCACAGTGCAGGCCCCTCAACTTTTCTTTTCAACATCACAAATACAATAGCTTAGAGTTAGCCTTTCTGCTTTTGTTTTTGAAAGTAGATCCTGGAGATATTTAGAGTCCTAACTGGAGATTTAGCAATTAAATAATATAATTTAATGATACACCACTGTCTCCTGTTTTCTTTTTTAAATTTATTTGACAGGAAAAGTTATAGACAGTGAGAGAAAGAGAAAGAGAGAAAGGTCTTCCTTCTGTTGGTTCACTCCCCAAATGGCCGCTAAAGCTGGTGCTGTGACTGAAAGAGCTGGACTGGAAGAAGAGCAACTGGGACTAGAACCAGTACCCATATGGGATACCAGCACAGCAGGTGGAGGATTAACCAAGTGAGCCATGGCGCCGGCCCCAACTACGTGGTTTTAAAAGGTAATCTGCTTTAAATTCTCAAAGTCAATACTAAAAAAAGTATAGAGCTTATCCTAATTGTTAACATTTACAAAACGTATAGTTCATTCAAATAAAAATAATACTTTTTTGTAAATAATGCATACAAAGCACAAGAGCTTCTTAGTATATTTAGTGAAGCCAAACATTTTGACATCAACAAAAACATCTTTTTATCTTAAACTAAATTTTCAAACAGCATGCCATTTAGTTCATACTGAACTAAATTTCCAAAACAATATGATTTTTGCTTAATGATTTGCATAATTTAATCTTGATAGGTACTTCAGGAAACATATAGTTTTACTGTCATAGTTTTGATGAGAAGACATAATAAAAATAATATAGATACCACTGGAGGATTAACAGGACAAATAATAGAGATGTTACAGAAGGGCAAATCCATTGAACCAAAAGGAATTCTTAACAGAAGTTCAATACTTTTACTAAGTTCAATAGGAGAAATGACCAAAAAAGATGTTTGTAAAAACCTAAGCCCACAAAAGTGTATCAGAATTCAATCTTAATAATATTGCAGATTTTCCTCCAAGTTACAAAAATCAGGAAAGATGAAAGGTGTTTCTGATTTAGAATTATTTTCTAAGAACATTGGATTCATTCTCAGAAATGTGTTCTAGCCATTTGCTTGCTCAGAAAGCTCCAGCTTCAATGTTCATACTTATTTTCTAATGGGGAGCAAAGTCTAGAAGTAATTAAAGTCTGATAAAAATGGATGGTGATCTTCAAGTACAGGCCATTTGGACTTTGTAATGAAGTCATAGTTATGACAGGTCACTACGTCTGAGGTTCATTTCCTATCAGAAGGAAAAGTAAAAGAAGTCTGGTTTATTTCCCCTACCTTCTTAACAGTAACTAATAGATTTTACAAATCAAGCACCTTATAATGTGACATGAAATCCTTTAAATCTGAAACAATATCTTAACAGTCTCAATTTTTGAAATAAAAATCAGATAATCAATGAAGTTTTTAAGTAATAAACTGTGCTACCCACATTATTTAGGTGAAAACTGGCTCATAAATTTAGGCTGAGTTTTCAATAGAAGATATTTCTTCTTTGATTCATATACAATAAAACATTTTAATATTTAATAAGAATCTCTGTTTCTGTATATTGGATCCAAAGTGTGTTATGTTTTAAGTAACAACTTGCAGACAATTAACTCATATTCTGGATATCCAAACGGTGCCTTCATATGGGAGCCTTTCATCCACGTACAGCATCGATACTTTAATAAAGCATGAATTTACTTTGCTTGAGGATTAAGTCTCATTCTCCATGGTTAATACAGGATTGCTCATAGGAGCTTTGCCTCTTCCAGGGCTTATGTTGCTTTCTGTCCAAGACTGAGAGTCAGTGAGAAGGTGGCTCTGGAATTCTCTCTATGGATTTGCAGGAACTGATGGTTTTCAGGATTTTTAGCTGTTGAATTCAGTCCTGCAGGAGTAGATGGTTGTTCAGGATCCTGGTTAACAAGGCAAGTTGGGAAGGAACAGCCATCAGACAGATGTGAAAAAATGGGTAACAACCAGTACTTCTTCTCATCACCAAAAACTTGTCTCATTATTTTTACTGAGACCTAAGCTGAATCCATTCTTATTGGTTCCATCGTCAAGATAGTGGACTCCTGAATGCCTCTAATGTAGATTTATTTTTGCTGACTAGCCAACAATGATAGCCAATAGAGAAGATAAGCTGACAGAAAACTAGCTGCAGCAAAGAATAGAAACAGCATATGGAACTTGGCTTGAGTATCTGGTAGACCACTTGTCCAAAATTTGACAACATACTGTAAGTCTGTAGCAGTGATAAAAAGGCAGTACAGCAGATAATAAGCCACGAAAAGGAGGAAGAATTTATAATCTGAAATTCCCACACAATTGTTCCACCCATGGGCAATGATGATCCATCTTCAAAATACATTATCGCAGATGGAACAGTGATGGCAGTGATCTGTTTTATAAGTTGGCATCTGTCACAGTAGCGGATGGCTCCAGTCATGGTCCTGGTATAAATGGGAAGATCCTTGGCTGCTTCGCCTAAGACTTCCTGATGGGGTTGTCCTCTTGGCTCTCTCTCCAACAATTCTTTCTCTGCATAAGAGAGATGGAATTCTTTGGAAGGATCCATTGGTAATATATAGTTTTGCAGTAAGACCTGACAAACATCGCAAAAAGTAGATGATAAGCCAACTAAGCACACAACTTGTTCGCCAGTGTTTTCCATGGAAACTAGGCCAGAGCTGGATGGTGGAGGCATAGTAGGACCAGCCCTGGAGGAGGCTGATGAACACCGCTGGGATCCAGGACAGCACCCACCACAACACACGCCGTACCACCGCCTGATGCTGCGTGGGCCCGAGGGCGCCATCTTCCAGTGACATCCACTTGCCCAGCTCTGGCCTTGGGGCGGGCTGGCCATGCCCGGCGCTCCCCAGCAGGACAGGACTGGGGGTGGGGGCTGGTTGTGCTGTGGCCACTGCCGCCGCCATTGTGGACACCCGTCTCCTCAGCCCAGCGGAGGCTGCAGCCACAGGAGGAGGAGGCAGAGGAGGAAGCTCTACATGTAAATTTAAAAATGTATTTTCTGTCGATGTTTTTTTGCTGAACACATGGACGCATAATCTGTTTATAGAAAGCCAAATCCAAGAGAGAATAAAATATTCAGTCTTTAAAATGGGAGAAAATAAAAGATGAAAAATGACAATGATGTATGAATTAAATAAGTCACAGAGAACTGCTGCACATTTTTAAATTGTAGGCCCAAGTGGAAAGGATTAAAAAGGAGAGAAACAAGAAACAGAAATAATGTTGAAGCAGAAAATCATTGAAATTTTCCAAAACTTTCAAAAGTCAACAATCATCAACTCATAGATCCATTAAAAGCTGCAAACCATTTCAAGGTAAACCATACTTAGCCCTAGTTTCAGCTTTTTGAAACTAAAGACAACAGAAAAACAAAATATATAATCTCCAAAGGATCTAAAGTGAGAGAATAGCTGACTTATCTGTGTCTGGCTTCACTGTATTAGTTGAGGAATCTGAATTTTGTACTGCCTCGCAGTATATGTGTATAATCAGTATTCATTAACACCTATAGACATCATATGTGAAAGTGTATTATATATATGCAATTTCAAATAAAAATTGAAATGTATCATAGCTGGCACATTTTTACTCAAGCAAATATTGAAGCAAACATTCTGACTGGAGGAAAACTAGTCTCAGAAGAACAATGGTGAAGAAATTAATGAATCTTGACTTGAAACTTTTCTATTATCGTTGTGTGTATTCCATATTTTTTGCTATTATATAGTTTCTATCCCTTATAATAAGAAAAGGTAGGAACAAGAGATGTTAAAATGAGGGTAAAAATGCTGAGTGTAACTGAGAAGCCTGAGACATCTAAAAGCATTGTCCTGATGTCTTGACTAATCCGTAAAAGTGATACTAGACAGAAACCTTAGAATTTTCTCCTTATCTCATCTCTGTGTGAGATTACCACAGTACATTACAGGATTATGCTTTGCCCATAGTAAAAATGGTCTCAAAAATTAAAAAGTGGTTTTTTGTTCCAGAGAACAAATTAGGCAGACTATTCATATCAATCATCTCCAGGAGAGGAGGAGTGGGAGGCAGGCCTGGGTGGAGGAAGAGGCTCCTACAGAGTAGGGAGGGATTGCATTTCACACACAAGCAGTTATGCAAACACACACCCACCATGCCTAGGAAAAGAGAAAGGGACACTGAAGAGGAGAGCAGGGGACCTGCTGGAGGACTCCCTAAAGTTCCAAAGAGGTAGAAGACCTGAAAGTGGAAAAGGCCACAGCCACCATACAGGGGAGTGGCCTGCCCCACAGAGGTAGCGAACAACACCTGCTCCAACACAGGCCCCCTGGTATGCCTCAGGCTCCAGGCTCCAGCTTGAGATGCCCTCAGGAGGAAGAGAAGGAGGAAGAAGGCTTCCAAGGAAAAGACTGAGCCCCCAGTGTCAGAGATCATAAGAGACTGTAGCCACAATATTTCAAGAGGGGCCCCCTCCACATTCCTGCCATGAATTCGGTGTTACTGGGGACTTTGGCCATAGCCTGCAAACTGGGAACCTACTCTCCTCCTCCACTCATTTTCCTCACAAGTCCAGCCCCTGAAGATTGATCTGGGCTAGGTAGTCCATCTGGCCCTTCCTTGCAGGTCCCCACACACTTAAAGATCAGTTCAGGGCCATGTGTAAGCTCTGGAATGAGATTACACCTCAGTGTGCCTTCTTAATTAGAGCTGTTTCCCAGGGCTTCTCCTGGGGCACAGGCCAGCTCCTTCCACCCTCATGATATCCCTCTCCCCTTCCCCCAGCATTCTGGAGCACTGGGTTTCTCTTCCTTTAATATATTGAAGCTGTGGGTTTATTTTTCTTGTCCTAATGGTTCTGCCAAAAACTTCCATGACTATATTGAATAGCAATGGTGAAAGTGGGCAGGCATCTTTATCTAGTTGCAGATTTCAGTGCAAATGCTTCCAACTTTCATCCATTGAATATGATACTGGTTGTGTGTTTGTTATCTATTGCCTTGATTGTGCTGAGTAATGCTCCTTACATACCCAATTTGCTTAATATTTATATCATGAAAGGATGTTGTATGTATCAAATGCTTTCTCTGCATCTTTTGAGATAATAATATGGCTTTTATGCTTCAATTTGTTGATATGATGTGTCACATTTACTGATTTGCCTATGTTGCACCATCCTTACATACCAGGGATAACTCCTATATGGTCCTGGTGAATCATCTTTCTGATGTGTTGTAGGATTCAATTAGCTAGTATTTTGTTGAGAGTTTTTTGTCTATGTTCATAAGGGACATTGGTCTGTAGTTCTCTTTCTATATTTTTTCAGGTTATTGAATTAAAGTGATGCTGGCCTCATAGAAGGAGTTTGGGAGGAATTCACCCCTTTCAATTATTTTAAATAATTGGAGAATAATTAGAATTTGTCCTTTTTTAAAGGACTGGTGGGCCAGTGCCACAGCTCACTAGGCTAATCCTCTACCTGTGGCACCAGCACCCCGGGCTCTAGTCCTGCTTGAAGCACTGGTCCTGTCCCAGTTGCTCCTCTTCCAGTCCAGCTCTCTGCTTTGGCCCGGAGTGCAGTGGAGGATGGCCATGTCCTTGGGCCTGAACCCATGTGAGAGACCAGGAGGAAGCACCTGGCTCCTGGCTTTGGATCAGCACAGTGCACCAGCCACAATGTGCCAGCCATAGGGGCCACTTGGGGGGTGAACCAATGGAAAAAGGAAGACCTTTCTCTCTGTCTCTCTCTCACTGTCTAACTCTGCCTGTCAAAAAAATAAATAAATAAATTAAAAAAAATGTGGAGTTCAGCAGTGAAGCCATCCAGTCCTGGGCTTTTCTTTGCTGTGAGGATCTTTATTACTGATTCCATTGCTATCTTGATTATTGGTCTGTTTAGGTTTTTGTCTTCATGACTACAATATGGTAGACTGTGTGTCTTGAAATACATCCATTTCTTCTAGATTTTCCAGTTTATTGGATAAATGGATTTAATAATTATGAATATGTGGTTTTGAGTTCAATTCTCAATTAAATAAAAGATCATTTAGCTTGTTGTCCTTCTTTCCTTCTCATCAGTTCAAATATGTGGGTTCCCTGTAGGTTTCACTATCAACTGTGTCAGTGAGACCACATGTCTCAGCTGCCTTTGTTCAGTCCCATTTTACACCAATCTGGTGTCCTGCACTACTTAAAATTTTCTGAATTTATCATTTTTAACAAAATTTACTTAATAATTCCATTAATGGAAGTCAAGTCGGATTAGGACAACCTTCACATTGCATTTCCAGATTCTGCCATAGAATCTTATTGTGGTATATGAGGCTTTTTTTTTCTGTTAATAGGGGTCTCACTTTAACAAATGGTTCAGTCTGCAAGACACTTAGAACAATCCTCCCTCTTTATTGGATCTTTTCTGAGTGCAACATACTTACTATCTCACAAGGGCAGCATGCAGAGCACAAGCTCATAAAATGAAATGTTCCTCTAAAGAAGTAGCTAGGCAGAACAAATGCCTTCTTGTTTTGAATAGTGATGGTTAGGGAAGGAATTACCTGTTTATCCTGATGCCCTTTGGTCTACCAGCTCATTGCCTCATGTGACAAGTGAGGTTGAGTTGGGCTAGTGGGAAACTTAACATTTTTGGCTATGTACACATGAATTATGTGTATATGGCTTAATAGCTGTTAAGCTATTGCTTTTCTTCTTTTTTAACTATCTTTGAACCACTACTTGTCAATATCATCCAACATAATTACTGGTATTTAACCACTGTTGATGTATATAAGTTTCCCAGGAGACCTTCTGATTCCTGTCTTTTCCCCTTTACAACACTGACTTGGGACACAAAATCCTGACACTGCTACATTAGTGCTCAGTTTCTCCCATGGGTATATGGTCATCCCTCAAACTTTCCTAGATCATTTTCAGGGTAACCACAGCTTGTCTGAGATAGGAAGTTCCAATGCTCTCCCAGTCACCTAAATAATTGTAGTTCATCTTCTGACTTCCCACAAAACACCTTGCAGCAGGTTTTAAAATTACCAAGAACTTCCTTAAGATTTCAAGACAAACAGGAACATAACACAGTCAGACACCTGCACATCCACCTTTTAAACCAACATAAAGATGTTTTGGAAGCTTGCATCAAGTTAGAAGACACCTCCATCTTATATTGTAATGATTCCTTCACACTACACCAAGGAAACACAGCAGGCTTTGGAAACCTGAATAATTGCACCATAGTCATTATATCCCTCCACAGACCCATATCAAGGGGAAATTTGATCCCACCCTACAGGGAGAGAAACAACTATATACATACTCAGCATCTATTGGGCACCACTAAGGGCACAGCCAACATCACTTTCTGCAGCAGCCAGGAGAAATCGGGCCACCCACCTCAAAGTGAATGTCCCCAACTCAGAAGGAAATGAAGAGAGAAGGTCTCAACTCCAAGTCAATAGTGAGTTATCTAAAAATCAGTGGCCTCTAATTGCAGTGGAATGTGGAGGGGTGTTGGACAACAGTGACATCATAGAACCAGCTCTGTCACAATGGTGCACTTTATGTACAGGAGGGCCAGCCAGCCTCCTCAACCCACTGAATAGTAAAAATCTCAAGAGGTGGGGGTCTTGAGGCCTCCCTAAGGCACAGGTGAAAAGATCTGGACAGGTATTTCATGTGACCAGGTATGCACTGCTCTCTGTCTATACAAGGCCCTGCTATACAAGGCCCCATGTTCCTGCAGGTCTCTACTTTCTACCCATCCTCTTCCTCCAATGCACTTACATTTTACAACAACTTTTAAGGCCTTTTTTTTGAATTGACATAGTTACTCACCTGAAGGAGAGAATATGGTATAGGACAAAATCAGATAAATGTATTATTTTGTATTTTTTCTATGTCAAAATCCTATGGCTTTTGTTTCTATGTCAAATTTCTGTAAGTATTTTACATCCATTGTATTTCCAAATGTTTTAATTATTTGAGAGAGAGAGAATGAATTTCTCACTCCAAATTCCCACAACAGTTAGGATTAAGCCAGAACAAAGCCAGGAGCCAAGAACTCCCCCTTTCCCAGGGAGGTGGTAGGAACCTAAACATACATGCTACACCTTCTGCTTCCTAGGGACATTAGAGGGAAGCTGGGTCAGAAGGCCACAATCACTGGGACTTACACCAGGCCCTCTGATATGGGATTTTGGTCTCTGATGTGGAGGCTTAAACAGCTACTTCAAAACAACCACTCT